AAATTCAATATTTAAACATGAGAAGTTTCATCTCGAAACCATTGACAGCTTTAAAAATACATTTCTACTTGACTAACTGAACTTAAAGACACTCTCGATCTTACAACATGAGTAAAATACACCCCTTAATTCTCGCCAAGTTTAGAGGTATTTTTATTGAGATTTAGAGAATAAACAGACTTTGGGAATTTTCCAATCTCATTCATCAAGCTTAATCTCAAAGATGAGAAATTTTCATCTATATACACATGTAATCTATGCTACTGTCAGTTAATGTACAACTGTCATTTCTTTAACTAACTCACTAACAAACTTTTGTAACTAACTATAACCAACTAGTAATAAGCAAAACAACTAATTAACTATCAGTTGATATTACATAATTAAACAATTAAGTAGATGATAAGCCACTATCTCCAATAATTTTCAACACTTCTTTCGGCTTTTTATTAAGAGTTACATGTCATACAAAAGTTTGAAATCACTTGTTATGTCTTGTTTTTTCTTTAAAAAAATAAGCTTAAAATTGAAGATCTTAGTTTAAAATATGAAAAAGAGTCAAATCTAATCTATAAATAAAAATAAATAAAAGAAATAAAAATAATTTTTTTTGGAAGTTCAAGTTTAAAATTCAAACTAGCAATGAAATTTTCGCCTTGTTCATGTGTAAAAGCAATAAACGTATTTTTCATGAACTAATAATGTGAAATTTATTTGGAACAAAAAATATTGCAAGTTCAAATTCAAAAATCAAATTAGCAATGAATTTTCATCTTGTTCACGGATAAGAGCAACAAATGTATTTTTCATGAACTAAACACGTGAAAGCTATTTGGAACAAAAATTATTGCAAGTACAAATTCAAAAACTCAAATTAGTCATGAATTTTCATTTTGTTCACACTTAAGAGCAACAAACGTATTTTTCATGAACTAAACACGTGAAAACTATTTGGAACAAAAAAATTTGCAAGTTCAAATTCCAAATCAAACTAGTAATGAAGTTTCACCTTGTTCACGCGTAAGAGCAACAAACATATTTTTAATGAACTAGAAGCGTGAACAAAAAAAATTTCAAGTTCAAATTAAAAAATCAAACTAGTAATGATTTTTCACCTTGTTTGCGCGTAAGAGCAACAAACATATTTTTAATAAACTAAACACGTAAAAGTTATTCAAAACAAAAATATTTGCAAGTTCAAATTCAAAAATCAAACTCGTAATGAATTTTCATCTTGTTCAGGCGTAAGGGAAACAACGTATTTTTCATGAATCAAGCACGTGAATAGTGAAAAATATTCCAAACAAAAATAATTACCAGTTAAAACTCAAAAATCAAACTAATAATGAATTTTCATCTTGTTCACGCATAAGAGCAACAAATGTATTTTTCATGAACCAAATATGTGAAAACTATTTGGAAGAAGAACTTTTGCAAATTAAAATTTAATCATTCAAACTAGTAATGAATTCTCATCCTGTTCACATATAAAAGTAACAAACACATTTTTCATGAGCCAAGTACACATGAAAATTATTCGGAAGAAAAACAATTGCAAGTTCAAGTTCAAAAAATTCAAACTAGTAGCGAATTTTCTCATGGTTCACACAGTAAGAGCAACAAGCATATTTTTCATGAATCAAACACGCGAAAATTACTTTCTGATAATAAATAATGATGAGACTCGAATATAAAATTTTTATATGTTTTGATATTTGTTAAAATGTGTGATTAACTAATTATATCATCTATAAATTCAAGATATTAAAAATAATACAATTTTATTTACTTAATTATATATGTCACACAAATGCATACTTAAATGCCAATGTAGAACCACCAAGGATAGTATCCCTTCATTTTAAACCGTGGTTTTAAGTTCAAGCTTTAAATATGACAAAAAAAAAAAATCCTCTTAAATGGATCCTACATATCAAAATTCTAATACGAATACAGAATACCGAATACCGACTTAAAAAAAAAACAAATGTATGAGCTTTTCATGCTTCTTGAAAGGCCAAATACCTAAAAGTCATGTCAATTTGATCAATTATCCCCCAATCCCCTCCTTGTGATAATGAAATTTATAATATCTTACATGATATATGGACAAAGATTTCTTAATCACACATTTTTTGAGAAAAAAGATATGTGGATTAGGAGGAGATTAAGGAGATCTAATCCTTAATTAGCACGTGGAACAACCATAACTTGCCAAAAAATATAAAATAATTTTATGCTTTCACGGATTAAAATTAATTAGGGACCACTAATTTAACAAAAATATTTAGGACCCATTTTTGGATATTTAATTCCCCAAAGTTAAGATATTTTCAGGTAGGAAGTAGGTTATATTTGGACTATTTTAAGTTTGGAAAAAATGTCTAATTTACATCTTTACTTTTAAAATAATTATACTTCTCTTTTTTTATCAAAAATTTAAATGTATCTCAAACCTAACAATCCCCTAATTCTAATTTTAATTATCCTACTTCACTTCAATAACCTATAGAATCATGAGTGATTAATGGACAAATCTAGCATCGAAAGTATGAATTCGACAAAATTTAATAATTTTGATCTAAAATATATCTCGAGAAGTTTATCAAAAATTTATAATATCATAAACTTTTAAATTCATATATAATTTCGAATTCTACATTCATTTCTGTCAAGATTTGTAGTTCACAAGTAAATTTTGGACGGGATTGTTTCAACTCATGGATATATGAATTGCACCCCTCAACTTGTTTGTTTTGGGTGAAGTCCGTCACAATTTTTGTTTTATTATTATTATTTTTACTAATATGAAATTTTATTCGTACACTTAATAATTTCTCCTTCAAATTAAGTTTCAGAAGATTCATCACCTTATGAACTTATATACGGGGATTAAGTATATGTCACACACATCATCGAAGTAATTATTGACACCAAAGCTAATATGTATTTTTTTGTGCGCGCATACGTCTCAAAGCTATAATGCAAGTAGTAAATCAATTTGCAAATAAACAAAAACAGTAAAGTTGTCACCATGACATCATTATATCATCTTCATATTCATCTCATACATAGGCTAAGATACCATATATCAGGTTTAATTAGTTCAAAGATACTTTTAATACATATGACGTGATATTAATCACTTTGAAACAAGCTCACATGTTTTCCTAGATTAAAAAAGAATCACACCTTGTATTTAACTTCGGATCTTCCTGATTCTTTCTTCTTCTTCTTTTTCAGCTATTAATTCGAGATTTTGTTCGTACAACTAACATTTTAACTCACAATATAAAAAAATATCATTCAACTAAAACAACTTTTTGATATTAGATAATTATATATTTTTTTAAAACTTAGAGAATACATCCAAATAAGGGGGGAAAAAAGAAATTACTTGGAAAATTCCTGGCATCTTCATCTGATTAATTAATTAATTACACCATCATCACTTAACCATAATCTTAAAAAGTAAAAAATAAATACTAACTAGCTTTTCATCAGAAATTAAGAAACATAAAACATATTAAAGTAATTTTTATAATAAGGTAGCAGACTTTGAACTTTCCTAGAACTTTCTTCAACAAATATCCAACTAAACTTCAAGCAAGATCTTATACACTGAAAACATTTTGACCAATAGCTCACCAACCCATTTATTTATTCAATTATTTTTTCAACCTAAATCTATTTTTATAACAACTTTGTTTATACACATGACACCCCACTCCCCTTTTCCGGAACGATAATATCCAAGTCACCTTGCGTTCATTCAAGTTCAGAATAGACCTAGTGTATTACTTTTGATTTATTTATTCAATTATTTTTCAACCTAAATTCATTTTTATAACAATTTTGTTAATACACATGGAACCTCACCCCCTTTTTCAGAGTGGAGTATCCAACTCACCTTACGTTCATTCAAGCCTAGAATAGACCTAATGTATTAATTTCGTTCAAAAGCAGTAAGGTTGGTTCCGATTTAATTTATGCATCCAAAAATCATTAAACTAATATAAAAAATAGATCTCGAATTTGGTAAATCAAGTGGATGTGGTAGAATTTTGAAACTCAAACATGTGACTTAACTTCAAATTGTAGATTTGCACATGCATCACTTTAAATGTAAAATTCGAATAAGTATCTATCTACTACCTCCCGCCATCATAAGTATTGAATAATCTTTTTAATATCGGATCAAAGTTAATCGCTCAACAATCAAGACTTCACACCATATTTTAAGAGAGCGAGGTAAAAGTATCACCCAAAACTCCTTTGTTGATATTAAATTTTCTTTACTTCTTTGTACAACTCCTTTGTTGATATTAACTTTTCTTTACTTCTTTGTATACGTTCACTTTATTATATTCCAAGTTTCTGGCTTTGTCACTGCAATCACATGGCTTAAGCTTCTTCTCCTAAAAGAAATTGTCATTAACTTGATAACAACCCTAAAATTATCCTAACAAAAACGACTCGAGCAAAATGGCTTCTCTACCTTCGAGTAAGGTTTGCATACATACCACCCTCCCAAGATCTTACATGTTGGATTACATTGAGTATATTGTTGTCGTAAAAAAGACTCAAGCCCATCCCTTTCACCTTTTGGCAAAAGATAACTTTTTTCTTTCCTTTAGTTAAATCAAATTTAATAAATACCACATGTCCACAACTATCAAAAGACATGGGCAAGAAAAACAAATCAAATTCATCAAAATGGTCCTCAAAAACTGCAGGTACAGTTTGCCAGTTGTAAATGATCCCACAAAAATCTTTTATGGTAGATTTTCACTTGCCAGTTATGCAAGAAAATGATACACAATATACAAATGAAAATAAGATTTCCTTTGTATATTGTGCATCACTTCCACCACGTCAATGTGACACTCTACCTCTACCTCTGAGTTATATCCCTTCCCCGCCTCATCGAGAAAAATAACTGACCAATCCTAAGTAAAAGAGTCAGAGAAACTCAACGCCACTATTCTCGCAAAATCGAATTTGGAATTTCCAAATTGTCACTTTTATGTGATTGACATAAGAATGACACTTTCACATACATAGCACAACTGAAGAAAGATTATAAAGTAGAAAGGCACAATCAGATGTCATGTGTCTAAACATAGATTTACAAGTTAACAAGAAAAATGTTTTAAAAGGTCCAGTTTATATGATCCAAATCTCCACAAACTAAATTATAACCAAGATGATTTGGTAGCACACAATATCATTTTACAATGGCTAGGAGAACCTGCATAGTCTCAAGGAAGACGTAACCGATATGTAATTTGCTGAATACAATCAAAGTTTCCAACTTTCAAAAGTTAGTCCTGCTTGGAATCATCCACTCCAACTGCCTTAGGTACAGGATGGGGGGCGCCAGAACTTGGTTCTTCTCCGGTAACCTGTTAGACACAATGTGTTTTGTTATACTGAGTTATTGATTAACGCAATAAATAAGATGGACGAAAGGATGCAACTTTAGTTCAAATGGCACAAAGATGAGTGTAGCCACCATTTCTAGAAGTTACTAATAGACTTTTTGTTCCATTGATAAATAAATGCACAAAATCTTTCTATTCCCTCTTCCACTTTTTCTTCCGAGTTATTCAAACAGGCCATAGATTGATCAGGTTTAGAAGCTCAAACTACATGTACTGCAATACTCTATTAGCAAATGGAAAATTTAAATGGGATGTCATGGAAACAATACCATTCACCAGGATTCTGAAATAGTATCCTTCTTTTTATTCCATAATTTAGTGACAATGTATGTCTATAGGTTCAAATAGCTATGAAGGTCATTAACGTCAAATAGTTAAGAAAACTAAAGTGAAGGTGCGATCTTTGAGTTTTTGACTAGCATGCAATACGTAGTAAAGGCATATCTAGAAACTCAGCTAGCTTTGCCTATAGACACCATAAACAGACTATTTTCCATAAACTTGAATACAGATTTGAACAAATATATTCTCTTTTATCATATTTTTTTTGACATAGGTAACTGTTATTCTCTTTTATCATATTTATGAAAAGCTTTTTAGCAAGTTGTGAAGACTCACTTATTCCTCACTTGATATCATATGCTCATACTACGTTGGAATAAAACAGCTTTAGGCATAAAGAAGTGCCAATCTGCATATTTTGATTTTCTAATGATCAATTATGCAATGAACATACACTACTACTAGTTGTCTCAAAACCCCCAAGAAAAGGTAATATCGCGAGGTGTCAAGATAGAATAAAGCATAATATATGGTAAGTTGTAGCAAGAAGCCAAGAATAAAGCTGATGCAAATTCAATGACTGTAGTTTTTTCCCTTTCTTTTTGATGACCTAGAAACCAGTTCAACTTTGAAACTCGGTGGCCCTGCCACTATAGCTTTCTCCATCTAAATACTAGACTTGGTTCAATATGTAGATTTCAAACTCGTGATGTGCGCCTACCAAACATCTTGTAGGGTATTACCTCCTGATGTCGAAAAGCAATAATGGCAATGCAACAACTGTAGTTCCGAGCAGAAACTTTTCTAGAGGTGCATGATATCGTTGTCAAGATGAATTGTGGTAGTTCAAGAGTAGAGCAAGCAGAGAATACTAATGGCAAATAAACAATGCACAGTCTCAACCTTATCCCTTGAGATTGGGAAGGTCATTGGTAGCTAGTTTGTGACAGATTGATCAACTCTACATAATCTGAGGATTTCCTGCAACAAAACTCCAGTCGGTTTTGTTGAACGTTACAATATGAATTTGGGAAAGAAAATTTGAAGTCAGGGAATTAAGTCCATAAATAAACAGGGGAAAGAAGATTTGAACTTTAACAAGTGTAGGGAACAAACTTGAAAGTGTGAATGTAACACGAAAGGATCATTGCAGTGGAGAGTCTCAAAAATGAAAAAGTGAGGAAGTTATTTTTCATTTCGATCAACAATTATTTTTTTAAAAAAGAGAGGGGCAACCCGGTATACTAAGCTCCCGCGATGCACGGGAACCACAACTAAATAGGAGCAGAAAAAGTTAAGGTCTAACATGTCTCTGGAGGACGTGAACCAAAATGCAGGAATTTTTAATTTTTCGGTAAACAGGGTAGTTCTACACTGTCTCCTCGGAGAAATATTTCAACCACATTGAGGGTCATATCTACAGCTTAATTTTATAAGAACTGAACACTTAAACCTCATCAAACGCATTACCAAGTACTGTGCAAAAGCTTAAACTCAAATGATAGACCATTGGAGAAGAGTGTTTCCTTTTGAACCTCGGGCAAATAGGAAATTTTTGATAGAAAACTTTCAGCATTCTTTTAAAAGCTGATTGGATAAGAAACAAGTCAACAACGACCCAGATTTTCTTTCCAAATATATATCGTGTTTCTTTATTTTTGTTTACGATTAAAATGAGAGAAATGGAACAAGAAGTATACACAGGAACCCAAACTGTGAACAAAGACTATGATTGAAGTTAAGTTCTTTTGGCGCTTTCTTCATTGTGGGTTAAACGTTTCATTCAACATTGTACTTTGGTTTCATGGTACTCAATATCATGAAGATCTGGAAGAGGAAAAGAAACAACCACAATCACCTAAATCCCCCCGAGTTCTAGCATCATGTGCATCAGAATGTCCTCAAAGATTCAGCATATTGATTTTTCAACCCATACTTCACACATTTAAATTCATCTTCAGAAAAATATAATGTTCTAAATGTTATCATCAAAAAATAGTAAAATACCATCGGGGTATTCAGACAATCACATGCACCATAAGCTGGTGCTTCCCCAAATAAAACAGTATTACAGGTACAAGGAGGTCATTAACTTCAACAAAAACAACTCTTTCCTGAAGAAAGCTAAACGATATTGCATTTCCTATATCCAAATTTCAAACAACTTGTTCACCACAAATCCAAACAAAAGATACATTCAACCACCCAAAACACACACATACACATTTATATCAATCATAGCATCAATCTAATTCGTTTGGTTGGCTATACGAATTTATTTCGCTTACTCAGGCATTGTGTGTAAGGATATACATGTGGGCACCAATGAATTTCAATCAAACACTCAAAGCAGCTTATTCAGGTATGCATGTGTATACATATACACACACAGGCACCAGTGAATTTCAATCAAACATTCTAACCTATATAATCTAGTTCATATATTTCCCAACAAGAACAAACTTTTCCAAGCAAGCCAACAAGTTGTGAAACAAAAATAGAGGCGGAGCCAAAATTTGAACTTTATGGGTTATGGATTCTAAGAAACGGCCTAAGTGTTAGTAACTCGGTTCTAAATTTAATTTTTGTACATATTTGATGATTTTTTAACAGAAATACAGAGTTTAGAACAAAGCTATTGGGTTTTACCAAACCTACCTATTATATGCTACCACTTATAGAAGCCCTAATAATCAAACTACTTACAGAATTATTGGGTTTTAGTAGCTTACAAATCTTTCAAGCAAGTCAACACTTTGAAACAAAAGTCACTCTTTACAATCAAAAAACTTAAAATACTATTGGGTTAGTAGCTCACATGTTTTTCAGCTCAACACGTCTGTACAAAAGATCACGCCTTTGCAATCAAACAACTTACCGAATTATTGGGTTAGTAGCTTACAAGTTTTTCAAGCAAGTCAACACTTTGAAACAAAGATCACACCTTCACAATCAAACACCTTGCAGAATTATTGGGTTAGTAGCTCACAAGTTTTTCAAGCAAGTCAACACTTTGAAAAAAAAGATCACATTTACAATCAAAAAACTTAAAATACTATTGGGTTAGTAGCTCACATGTTTTTCAGCTCAACACGTCTGTACAAAAGATCACGCCTTTGCAATCAAACAACTTACCGAATTATTGGGTTAGTAGCTTACAAGTTTTTCAAGCAAGTCAACACTTTGAAACAAAAGATCACGCCTTTACAATCAAACAACTTACAGAATTATTGGGTTATTAGCTTATAAGATTTTCAAGCAAGTCAACACTTTGAAACAAAAGATCACGCCTTTACAATCAAACAACTTACAGAATTATTGGGTTATTAGCTTATAAGATTTTCAAGCAAGTCAACACTTTGAAACAAAAGATCACGCCTTTACAATCAAACAACTTACAGAATTATTGGGTTATCAACTTACAAGTTTTTCAAGCAGGTCTACACTTTCAAAAAAAGATCACACCTTGAAACAACCTCTCTATAACCTCCCAAGGTAGGTGTAAGGTGTACACTCTACCCTCCACACACCCCACTTGTGGGATTACACATATGTTGTAGTTATTGTTCGTTTCAAACAACTTACATAACTATTGGGTTTAGTAGATCGCAAATTAATAAGCAAATCAACACATTTAAGCAAAAGATCACACCTTTATAATCTAACAAACTTACAGAATTATTAGGCTTATAGCATCTCCCAAGTTTTTCAAGCAAATCAACACATATAAGCAAAAGATCACACCTTTACAATCGACAACTTATAAAAATATCGGATTTAGCATCTTCCAAAATTTTCAAGTAAGTCAACACATCCAACCAAAAGATCAACATCAACAACAACAACATACTCAGTGTCGTCCCACAAAGTGAGCTCTCGGGAGTGTAAACTATCCACAAACCTTACCCCCTACCTCAAAGGTAAAGAGGCTATTTCCAATAGACCCTCAGCTCAACACATCTAAGCAAAAGATCACGCCTTTATAATCGGAAAAAAAAACTTACAGAATTATTGGGTTTAGTAGCTGATGGTTTAAAAGGACAAGCAGGAGGTGCTCTTTCTGGTCTCTGATACTCCTTCCCCATCATTCTATAAACCTTCGCCTATAAAATCCCCAAAAAACACACATAAAGCACAAATTAACACTATAAACATCAAAATTAACCAATTAATTAAGTTTTTAAAGGATCTTACCATGAGAATATGGAAGAGAACAGGTAATAAATTAACGATCGGGACTAGGAACAGCGGTATTAAGCAAGCTACACAAACCTACAATTTTTGCAAAAAATCAAATCAAATCAAATTAAGAAAAGGCTAAACATAATTAATGGAAATTGAATAAAGGATTTTGGGGAAACTATAGATTTTGATTCTTACCATTTTTTTCAGATTATACTTTTTCTTTTGTGTTCTTGATTTCTGGTTTGTTTTTCTGTGGAGAAGAATATGACTTTTGTCTACTTTCCGGGTCAAAGAGTCGACTTTTGAATGAGATCCAAAAGGCTTAGGGGCGAAGCTGGGTCGGGTCGGGTCGGATATGAGCGGATCAAAAATATGTTTGGCTAAGCCCATTCAATAACTAACAAATTTCATAAGCTAGGTAATTTATGAGATACGGTTAAATCTCTTTCTAATAATCGTATTTTTGTGAAAATATCTTATTATAAGTTATTATTGTTTTTCTGAATTTATTTTTTCATGTTATGTTATATTATATGTTTTGTATAACGATATTTTGCTACAATAGACTAATGTTGACAAATTTCATACAAAACTTGTTTCCTCTTCCACTTGGAGGAAGAAATCCAATTTTTACAATATATATTTTTTAATGTTTAAATGTTATTTTTATTAAAATAGATATTGTATACATGAGATGGTATAAATATGAGTGTGTCAGTGAGTTAAACATGTCTTGGTTATGAATTGATATGAATAAAAGCAAAGCTAATATTTTAAATTTTATGAATTCTAAGTTTAAAAGATTATCTTTAGAGATTTGATTTATCTAGTGTTCTTTTGTTGGGTTATGTTAATTTATCTCCTCTTTCCCTTATGTAAATTGCAAATTATTACCTATGCATGTACTCTTGAGATTACTAACTACTATTGCAAATTAATTTTTTTAGATTTTTATATGGAGATTGAGGATTAGTAAAATATATTTTTGCATCATTTTGATTTAGGTCTTCAAAAAATATATGTTTATTCTGATTAAAGAAAGTGATCCGAATTAATTGAATTTTAAAATCGCTAATGAAATTGGATAGAACAAATACTTACAAATTCACAGGGAAGAGAAAGAGATCATAAACGAGAACAAATAAATATCAATTCACTCACAAAAATATAGAATTAGTTTAAATCACAAAGCTAAAAAGCTCGGGGGGGGGGGGGTAAAGTATGGG